GTGCTGAGAAACCTGAGAGATTATCTGATGTCCCTAATTAACTCCGCTCAACATGGTTTCATTCCTGGAAGGTCATGCACAACCCAGCTAGTCGACGTTTTGCACTACATTGGATCCATTTTAGACTCTGGTAAACAAACCGATATAATCTTCATGGACATGTCAAAGGCTTTTGACAAGGTCAGCCATACAGCTCTGATAAACAAACTCCAACAGTATAACATTGGCGGATCTCTTCTCCAATGGTTCACATCGTATCTACATGACCGCCAACAGCGCGTCACAACTCTTGGCGCTACTTCTTCCAAAAAACCAGTGTGCTCCGGTGTTCCGCAAGGCAATATCTTAGGACCAATACTCTTCCTCCTGTATGTGAATGATTTACCAGACGCTGTGACGAACTCGACAGTTGCGTGTTTTGCAGACGACACCAAAATCTTCCGTAGAATTGACTCCATCACCGATGCTATGTTACTCCAGGACGACATCAATAACCTTCAATCCTGGTCCACGTCAAGCGGTCTCGTGTTTAACGAAGGAAAATGCAAAAGTATTAGCATTACCAGACGAAGTCAACCAATCCATCATCTATATAGCATCAAAGGCAAAGAACTTGCACTTACACCAGCAGAGAACGATCTGGGAATTTGGATTGCGAGCGATCTAACCTGGTCTAAACACATTTTAGACCGGTGTGCCCGTGCCAACAAACTCCTCGGATTTATAAAGCGATGTTCTGGGGAAATAAGCGAAGCGAGGACCCGCCGGACTCTGTATCTGTCTTTGGTTCGGTCGGTTTTTGGTTACTCGAGCCAGGTTTGGTCGCCTCAAACCGTGACCCTCATCCAACGTATGGAACGGGTCCAAAGAAGAGCAACGAAGTACATTTTAAACCTTCCGTACTTGTGCAGTGAGACTTATCGGGAACGACTTGCCAGTTTGGGTCTCTTACCGCTATCTTACTGGCACGAATATTTGGATCTCGTGTTCTTTTTTAAAGGGGTGAACGGCTTGGTCAACGTGTCTCATGACGTCCTCCCCGAAGTCATGTCCCAAACCAGAACGACCAGATCCTCCAGTGGCAACCAAATCTCCTTCAATCCGGCCAAATGCAAAACCTCTACCTACCAACGCTCCTTCTTTATTCGTGCATCCAGAACTTGGAACTCTTTACCAACTACACTAAGATCTCCTGACATTAATATTAGGCAATTCAAAACCGATTTACAAACTTACTACCTGACAGCCCTGAGAGAATGTTTCGACGAAGAAGATCCGAGGACATGGAAGACTATTTGTCTGAAGTGTAACACTAGTCGTTACTTACGTTCTGAACTAACTTGTTGTTTTTAGTCTCCTGTCCATGTACTGTATGTTATATATTCTGTACTGTATGTGTATTTTTGTATAGGGTCCACAGTAATTGGTTTACACTGTTGTGGTGTCCCTGCCATTTTTGTCCATGTTTATTGTGTAGATGTCTATTTGCTGTTCTGTTAAGTGTTTTTGGCAAAGTTTAATAAATAAATAAATAAATAAATATACATATATATATATATATATATTTTTATATATATATATATATATACATATATATATATATATATATATATATATATATATATATATATATATATATATATATATATATATATATATATACCATTATGGATATAGTCTGGCTTGCCAACGTTGATGTCACTTGTCTGGAGGATCCAAAGGATATACGACCCCGAACATCAAATACTTCGCTACGTCCCTGCAGTCTTACAACATTTAGCCTGCGAACAGGCTCTCAAGCTGAATTGAGAGCCTGCATCGATGACTAATGAATTTGAATATCTGCCCCGTAACGTTCGTTTTTCCAAATATGGAATGCCTATCCTTATATGGTGTTGTTTACAACTTTCGTGCAAACTAAATTTAGACCATGCAAACTAAATTTAGACCATACAGTTTATACTGTTTTTCGAAATATAAGATATTGATATTGAAGCAAAAGTTTAAATGTTTTAAGGTGGCTCCCTAGGGTTTTTTAATTTACTACACTATAGTATTCAGGAGACTCCTGTTTCTTCACGTTACATGACATAAAAACGAAATTTATTGGACACATTGACAATGTTCTCCTGAACAATACAAATTGCATAGATATCTCATATACACTAGATAGCGCATCTCTAACCTGAAGTTCAGGCCCTATCACAGAATAGGGCCTGACACAAAACCTATCTAAAGTGTGGGATTCCCGTCCACCTGGTGGACGGGAAATCTGATTGGTTGATCAGCATCATGAAGGATTTTGATTGGTTGCAA